CGTGAGTGTCCCCCTCACTGTTCTCCAGACGCCACCACTGTCGTTACAATTAAACTCATCTCAAACCTCCACTGGACTGCGCTGAGACTCTTTGCACCCCTACACTCGACAGGCAGTCGCCCACACTGTGTGAAAGGGGGTTTTCCGAGCCAGACAGAGTGAGCCAAGCTCTCTGATCAGTGGCGACCCAGGAAAAGTGCTGCTCCAGGTGCCCTGGAGCATGAGGTTCTGTCGTCACCTTAACTCGTTTGCAAACAATATCAGAATCTGGATCATCGACCTGAATAATGAGGAACAGTGGCCCTGATACAGATCACAAACTACTCTGCTTATTGCAGTGGTCCAACCCGAGCATTTACCCCTTATCTGCAGTATACTGCCTGCTTTCTCTCCATTAACCAGCTATTAATTCAAGAACTTACATTGACTTGAATGCCCACCAATTGCATTGTAATACTCTGTCTTTTACGAGGGACTTCAACATCCTCCTGAAAACCTAAACATGCCGTTTAGCTCCACCTGAGCACTCCATTACATGATTAATGATAATTAACAGAGCTATGAGTAGGTGTGCTTGAACCTCCGGGACCAGGGCTGGTCACCCCCGACCTACAGTATGTCCTCAAACATGTGTAAAAACAGGTAATCGCATGCTATCAACCTCAGTCCGGGACAGTGCAGTTCATACTGCCAGCTCTTTATTAAAACCGAAATTCTCTAACCATTAAGCAGTTACAAAGGTCTTGCGAGCATAAAGAATTCTAATTCATACGTAAAGTCAACTGATATGTAACAAAACATCATATTGCAAATTACAGCTGGTCGTTAAGTATGTAATCGATTAAATTGGTAGATTATAATCTTAAATCGATGGAGGCCCTGTAGTGACCGCCTTTAAAGAGTGAAGGTACTGTATCAGACCTTACTATTGTATCAGACTTTTACTAATTGTGTTTTACATTATTCCTTATTTAAACTGAATTAGCCTCTGTCTCAGCGTGAGGCAGGAGTCTGTGCTTGAAGACTACTATCCATTTTTGTCCATTTTCTTGTCCGATGTTCGGGTGAAACGCTACCATGAAACACGCTTCTGTTGCCCATTTCATCATATCACCAGGCGCCCAACTTCCTTCACACTCTGTCTCTGTCACGTTTTTTTTTTTCCCCAACAAACACGCATTTGTTACTTTAGCCTCCGGTGATATCGACGGTCAGGGCTCCACTCAGACAGTCGCTCTCCGAATACCGCTTCCAAACAGCGTGACTCCTGCTCGCTGCCCAGACACCGGCGCTTCTCTGCAGAACACAGCGCGTCACTGGCGCTCTAGCTGGGGAAACCACCTACTGCAGGAAGAGAAAACACGAGGGATTCAGAGCCAAGAAAATAATTCGCTCCTTTGAAAACGCGTTCTGAGACCCAAAGCGAGGAGCTTCTAAAATAGCTCAATCGGACGTTGTGTGACGATGACGATAAAGCGACTTAGTTTAAGGGCAAAACGCGGCTGTGTCAGTTCTCACCGAAATGATCAACTGAGATTGCGGTTCCTCGTCAGTAAATCACTCTCGACCCGTAAGATGCTGATTTTGAGAATTTCACACGACATTTGGAAGTAGACAGCCGGGCAGGGCACGACACAGACATTCGCGTCGTCGTAATCCCAGAAGCTACTACAACGTTTAGCTTGAGACGTGTAACTTTTTATCTTCATCCGCTGAGGAGAACCGATCGAGCCTCGCCGCGTGCCAAACGTGTCAATATTATCGATCGGCAAACTGACGATATGCGTCAACAAACCGAGCGAAGACAGGAACCTGTCCGAGCTCCTTCTACGCGGTACTTTATCCGTTTCCAAAGATTAAAAAAGAAACAGATGTAAAGAACACGCTGAAACCATTGCCCCCGGGTATTTCACATCCCCAATTCCCGAAGGAACCCTCAAATATTTTCGGAAGCCTGCATCTCGCCTCCAGTCTGCCTCTTTTCTAGGTCTTCGGGTAACAACCGGAATTATGAAACCAATCCGAAGGAAATAAAAGTTTGTGAAAAGGCCGGTAGCGTAAAACAAGCGAATCGCCTCAGTCACGTCTGAGGTCCGGCGTTTACACCACACTGGAGTTGCAGATCTCTGGACACAGCGGGCGTGTGACTTGAACGTGCAGATTTATCGAAGTGGTCTGCGAAGTCTAACGTGAATTTATGTCATTCAACAAACTTGTTTTTTTTTTAAATCTAGCATGCACACCCTAATTTAATGAAGATTCCATATGTGAAAGCGTGATTATTATTATTATTCACCAACGAGCTCGAAGACACGGCTTCTTGAAGTTAATCCAAACTACTGCGACACGGGTTCCAGCGCCATCCGTCAGGGGAAAGGGTCAACAAGACGGCTTTCTTAACGCGTCTTCGATTCGACAAAGTTGATTGAATACTCATCCAGGATTAGCTATCCGAGTTTTTCCTCCCCGTGGAGAATTTGAAAAGAAAGCGGAACTTAGTGGATTTATTTAGGCGACCATCGCTTGTTAAGCTTTAAAAAAACAACAACAACCCTGCTTCTGCATTTACCCCGCCGACACTCAGCTATCAGCTTTCAATTAACTATATGCGCGCTAGATTAGGTTCACATTAGTACAATTAGAATTCCAAGAAGAAAAACAATGATTATCCCCTGCAACACTGGCTTAAATCACGATAAAGACATAGCGTAATAATGTACCTTATTAACAGAGTAAGCAGGAAGCCGACTCAAACATGTAGATTTAGGAATCCCAATAATTCAATACAGTATTGCCTGACGGGCGAAAGGGGGAGTTATTGCGCTTCACAGGCAAGAAAAACAACAGGCAAGACTAAACACAAGCCAGGATTAACACCGAAAAAAGCGAAACTTTTTCGCGTTATTGCGCGACGCCCATTCTCTCTCAATTAATCCCTTTCGCTTTCTGTAAGGAAGACATTGGGCTTCTAACCGTTAAGAAAGCGGCCTTGTGAATTCTAAAGAGACCGACAACCTTCTCGACAACAGTTCTTAAATTAAAAAAAAACAAAATAAATAAAATAATTAGGTGGGACTATTAAAAAATCCCGTTTGGGCATAAATACATACTGCTAATCCTTTCTGAATGACATTATCGGACGTGTGCAAGGGAGGAATAACGCATTCACTTTCAGACGTTAGCGATGTGACCCGATATGTGCTTCATATCGGGTAACACTGCAATCTTCCTGCTGTGGTCCGCATGGAAGAAAGTGCTTTGAAACTCCGCGCAACTTTGAGAAAGCTGTTTCGGTGCGCCTTTTTAAAAAAAAAAAAAACCCCAACCACACTGAAGGCATTGCTCCCGCGGGTTCAATTCGCACGCCTCGCCCTCAGCCTGTTCCGGCTCTCCAGCCGGGAGCTGTCCGTTCAGCACCCCGGCTCGCTCTCCACCGCCGGCGACGTTCACACACAAAGAAAACGCATCTAGGTCGTGTCCCGAAAGCCAGAAAGCGATACGACCGATTCTTGAAGGCTCCGGCTGTACTGGGCTCAAACACCTGGCAAGGTCGGCTGTGCTGGTCTAACTTTACACAAATGGTTGGCGGTGTCGGGCGCTGAAGCTGCTGGCTGGGGGACATCGGAGGGGCAGTTTACTGCTTTTCAACCCTTACAATACCGGCGGCTGACACGAGCAGAACGGGGACCCCTTTTCCGAGCGATTATTTTGGGGTTTTTTTTTTTTCAGTGTAGCTACTCTTTTCCGGTGAACAGTCTGGGGAGAAATACATTTTGAAAAGAACTTCTGGGGCCAATTCAGTCTATCGACTTTAATCTCCCCGGTATCACCCGCCCACTAGGTACCACCTCGCCCGGCCACACGGACCTATGCGCTATGTTTATGGCGGGGCTGTGACTTGCTTAACCGGCCGCTATCGGCTCCATCGCCCCCGGACTGGAAAGCCCTTCGGGAGAGAACAACCTGTTCTCACAGTGAGCGACACATTTCGATATTGCTCATTCGAGCCGGGTAAATGGCCGTGTTTCTCCTACCAAGTCTCTAAGTTTTGAAGGTTTTTATATATTTTTTTTAGGAAACTTAAACAAAAAAAACAACCCCGTCTGTCAAACTGGGTATTCCGGTCAGACAAGCTCACACGCGGGTGCAGAACCCAGCTCCTGGAGTGGAGCCGGATCTGTCCGCCCGCTTTCATCGCGATGCCCGGCTGGAGGGGCTCCCGTGTGGCGGACACCTGTGTGGAGCACCTCAGCCCCGAGTGATCACTGCGTCTTCACCACCTGTCCGCCGTTGACGACGGACAGCGGCGAGGAAAACCGATCCGGCCGCCGGACGAGCTCGGTTTCCTCGCATCGGCCCCCCCGAACAGCTGCCAGATCAGAAAACAAGCCCTTTAAAACTAAAACTAAAACTAAAAGAGTGCGAAGCAGGAACTTTCTAATTCCGACAGGCCAACCCTTTGAGGGTGGGGGGGTTCGGGCGAGACAGCCAGGGACTGAGCCGGCATGCGACTCTGTGTTTTGCTACTTCTATTTTAACGGGGCTCAGCGCGTCCGGGACGCGGCGGAGGAGCAAGAGATGGCGTTTGCATTAAAGAGACTGAGCTCCCAACCCCGGTTCAGCCGAGGCGACCCTCCCCTAAGACACCAATGTGGCCTTTAACACGGGCAGCGCGAACAACCGGGAGAGACCGGGCGGAGTACAGTACGTTGCGGGCCAGCCGAGTAACAGACGCACGCAGCCCAAGGTCGTGGTTTCCAGAACAACGGCTCTTATAATTCTTTCTGTTACAAGTCCCGGTACACGCCTGCGGCGCAAGATGATACTGGAGAAAGCGCTCGTCGGGAGCTCGGTGCGGAGGAACAGCCGACGTGCCGTAGTCGGGGATGATGTTAGCCTTCACGTGTACCTCAGCCATTATAAATATAAACTCATATTGCCAAGCAACCACGATATATGTCCCCCACCCGTTTTCTACAAGGCAACGCAGAAAAGGCAAAGCGTGTGTGTAGGTTACACAAAGGCAGCGTCCGCTGCCACCATACAGTGGGTGATAACGGATTTCTATAAACGGTAATAATATTAGCAGACACCACATGAAACCCACCATTCCAATTATTCCTTCCCAAAATTGCAGTCACCGAGCGTCCATGACTCAGAACCAACACGACTTACATCGTACAGCGCTTATTGGCTGAGAGCTTGTCAAGGTGTCCCTAAATATTAACTCTTGACCAATGAAGGGCTGGATGGCCCGTGAGGGCGGGATATTTTGTCGTAAGTCGCGGGCCATTGGCTGGCATCCCTGGCAGTCACCTCGACTTCCACCAATGGGAGCGGGGAATTCGTTGGGGCTCGCCTGCTGCTCCCCCCCCCCCCCGCCCTCCCCCCCGCGTGCTGTCCTAGCCGTGCACGCGCGTGGTCCCCCCGGTCGCGAGGAGGAGGAGGAGGATGTGGCGCGCGGAGGGGAAATGGCTGCCGAAAACAAGCCGGAAGGTAAGAGAGAAATAACGGAATTAATTTTTCATTTTTACCAAAATGCAATTTATTTGGTTTAAAACCCAGAAGAGGGAAGGACGGAGCGGGAGACTCGTAGAGCTTTTGAAAACCCCGTGGGTCCAATATTTCTTCCGAAATAGAAAAAGCCGAGGAGAAATGTCCATGTATTAAAAGCAAGGGGACTGAAATAGCGGAAAATTATATATATTTTAATTTTTTTTATTCTGTCCTTCAGTATTACCGAGCGTAACGTAAGTGTCAGCACGCAGACACCAAGTGTCAACTTCTGTTTTTACCTCATAATGTCGCGAAAGGCAATTTCCCCTTAAATCACCCATTTGCATCACGGCGAAATACTGTAAATGCATGAATTTTCCCCGTTTCTGATCTTAAACTAGGATTCCTCTACATTGATAGCTAGCTACAGTAGGAAAGAACAAATTGAAGTACAGTAACGTCAGTATATTCGGGATGTGATCAGGCGAGGAAGAGCAGGTATAGACGGGCTATTTAATAGTGATGTTATACAAACGGGATTGATTTTTCCCCCAAGCTAGTGACTTGTGTTGTTTCTTAACAACTGGATCCCCTAGTACCGTATTAAAACGAAATACGCTCAGAAAAAAGGCACGCTTTGCGAGAAATCCCACGATTAGGTGGCACATCGTTTTCAAAGAATGCGCTGCGAACACGCAGACGTTTGTGGCAATGTTGTTCGGAGACGATATTACGATAGAAGCGGGCTGCCTTTTTTCTCCCCGTGTCATTTTAAACGCGTGTATGTTTAGTGGCTAAAGAGGACGGCGTGAGGACATCTGAAATTAATCTCGAAAGCACGTTCTCGGTGCGGGGTGGGAAAAAAAAGCAGTTAAGCAGGTGTTTAAAAATGATATTTTAGTATGTCAAAGTGAATTGAAAACTGCTCTTGCCGCCCACCCCACACAGGAACGCGAGGAAACAAACCTACTTTATTCTTACTACTGTTTCGTCTCGGCGTGTCGCTTGTATTCTGTTCCTTCTGCTTATCAATATATTTAAATGTCAGGAATTATACTATAACAAATCGATGTATGGCACAGCACCGGGGATAATTAAAATGCGATATGACATTAAAACAGGACTTCGGCGATAAAAAATAATAATAATTAGTTTAATTAAGCGCATCCGAATAATGCAAAAACGGATACAAATCGAGCCACTGAATCTTTCCGTACCGCTCACATTTTGAAAACAAAAATCAAGCAATCGTAAAACTAGCAGCGTTTCAAATAAGAGTGCGACGGCTACTACTGAAACAACGACACGGCATGGGAACCGGAATGCTGATGGAGATGCCGGCCACATTAGTTTTTAGTGTTATGAAATTAATTGGGAAGGGTTGTTACAAGGTTAGTACACCATTCGGTGGGATCTCTGTACTGAACGGGCTCCGAGTCACACAGCTGAGAGGGTCGGGGGACAAAGTGTTATTTCCAAGCCGTATCCCCGTTTTTGTCATAAGCCACTGGATAGATACACGAAACGAAGGTGTAGCGGATCCCGGAAAAGTCATCCTTCATGGCGTTTTGTCGGGGAAAAAACACTGTATCTTTAAAAATAATATTTTATCCCAGCGAACGTTGGGGGGCGGCCAGCAGGTGGCGACAGAGAGAGGGAAAGCGCCAATACAGAACCGTAGGTGAAATCTATGGCTGTAATTAACCCGAATCTTTGAGCGTTTAGGCGGAATGGAAACCGTGTAATCACAGTAGAGAGAATAAAATCTAATTTCATTTCCACTAATTAATTCCTGATTGCCAAAAAAAAGTGGATATTAAGCTCTAGGTAATGGGAGAAGCTAGCATGCTGTGTTATAATTATAAACAAGGACATCAGTTTAGATTTTGTAAAAAAAAAAAAACTTTTAACTCCTTCTAAACGAAATCGTTTCGTGTTCCCATCGCCTCACAGTTTAATTGAAAAGTTTTCTTAGTCTGAAGCACAGATTGAGAAACGTGTACACCAAGGGGACATTTATTTCCAGTTTATACCATCAGTTTTCATTAAGTACGGACAGTGTAAACTGAGAATTCTTCAGTATTATTCAGAGTCAACACGATGATTTCAACGGAATACATATTAATTCATCGTTTTCTGGGTGTCGTTTTTTTTTTTTGCTTAAAATTGTCTCATAATAAAACTGCGCATTTTCACTTTTAAACTCAAGCTCCGTGTATATCCTTTTGGTCTTTTTAAAAGAAATACCAGAAGGTGGCGGTGTTGTGCTATAAAAGTCAGGTTCAGGATCCATTAATTTCTACTGTAAGAATTCCCCTTAAAGTAGAAAATAAAAAGAGAGCTCACTCTATATTTTAAGCTTAACAATAATTTATATGTTATGTCACACAGGCAATACCTTTTGCAGTTTTTTTTTTAACCTGCGTTTTTCACATGAAGCACAGAGTTCCCTCGTTCTCTGTGGAGCCCCACAGTTGCTCAGGGCTTTGTAGAAACCCTGATTGGAGTGCTGACTCCAGTCGAGAGTGCTTTAAGCTAAATCAGGCTTTCTTCAGTGCTCTAATAGTGGAGGTGGGGTCCTGTGGCACGTATTTTAGATGAGACCATTGACCTACGTTAAGGCTCGATCACTACAGCCAGAAATGCCCTGGAGTGCCACCTGTTCAGGTGGCAGCTGGCTCTATTATGCTGTCCCCAGAGTCGTCCAGCGACCTTTTTTCTTTGACATCGAATGCGGTGAAATAAGGTAAACACAGTGTTTCCGAGCCCGGGTTCTCTCTAGTCAAGCGAACATGTCCGTTCGGGCTCCTCCAGTTCTGGTCCTGGACGTCCAGACAGAAGGCCCGCAGGTCTCCCAGATCTCTTTACAGCAGCACTACCTGAAGAACAGGGAGAAGCTGTTGAAGTGGTCCAGCTAAGCCTGTAATGAGCTAATTAAGGTCGTTAAGAGCTGGGCTGAGATGAAAGCTCATAGATGCAGGATTGGGCAGCTCTGCTTCAGAGGTTTTCCTGATGCTGGACATTTGTTGGGTTTAAATGTGGCACTTGTGTGATTAATCTCCAATTCCTGGCTTTCTCCTGCTCTAAGAAAAGCCAGGAGGACAGCGCTTTCGTTGTCTGATCAGCCTGTGTCCTTCTGTGTGCTCACGCAGCTGAAGGATGCAATAGCCATTTCCCAAAACCCTGGATTGGATTTTCCCCAAATCCAGAAGAATTCCCCCTGCACTGTGGAAATCCCAGATTGAATTCAGTGGTGAGTTGTTGTTTGGGTCAGGATCGGGAGTGACACAGTGTGAGTGGGGAAGAGTGAGAGGCAGTAGGATCAGGAGTGACAAAGTATGAGTAGGGAGGAGTGAGAGGCAGTA